CCGCCCCGGGAGCTCGGGGAGGCCGCGGGTTCCCCCAGCCCCGCGCACGTCGGGGCGGCGCGTGGGCGCGGAGTCGGAGCGCGGCGCCGCGGACGCGGGTGGGACTCGCGCTGCCGGTGGGGCCGTGGATCGTGCCCGGCCTCCGCGCGCGGGACCGCGGTAGCGCACGTTCTTGGGCCTCCGTGCACGGAGCCCCGGGCAGGGAGGCGGCCCCGAATCAGCGTGGAACGCTCCGCGTGCCGCTCCCGGCCCTCCCCGCGGCGGGATCGGGGACGCGGGCGGCGCTGTCAGCACGGCGCGGTCTCGGGTGGGCGCTTCGGTGCTTCGCTCCCGCACGGTGAAAGCGCGGGGAACGCGGCGGCGATGGCGCGGCCCGTTCCTTCTAAACGGGTTTTTGTCTTTTCCCGTGCAGCCCCGGCAGCTCGCTAGGCTGGAGCTGATGGATTTGACGCTCGTGGCACCTCTCCAATTGAAGCGTCTGTTTTGTGTTGCGGGTCTGAGGCGGGATGCAGAGCGGGTGGCTCAGCTGCGCCCAGCCGTGGGCAGCAGCCCATCGCCTGCACGTACAGGACTCCCCAGTGTTGGCACCAAAGCCCGGCTGTGCGCAGCCCTGGCGCAGCCATGCGGGACGTAAGGGGCCGAGCGGACGCTGCCGCGTCCCTGCTCCGTAGCACAGCCCCGGGCTTTGTTTACCAACACAGCGTAACGGTGTCCCCCATTGCCTGTAGGATCGGCTCCCCCCGCCCTGCGCAGCCTTAGGGACGGGTGACAAAAGTCGCTTTTCTTAAAGCCGACTCTTGGCAGAACTTTGCCACCGCCGGGCGAGTTGCACAAGTGCTCGCAGCCTCTCCTGCCGGTTGGAGCTCACATGACTCAGAGGAAGCGCGGCTGTAAACAAACGCAGGCGAGGAGCCATTAACCACGTTCCCACTCACTTTTGGTGCAACGGTCAGATCGTTCCCTCTGCAAAATGGCCGCTGGGCACGGCTTGCTCAGGGAGCCCCGCCGGGGAGGTGCTGCCTCCCCTCCAGAATGCCATGTTCTCAGGCTTTTGTTCTTCTGTGCGGTGCCCTTTTGCTGGCTGGCCCGGATCTGCGGTGAGAGCAAATTGCTGGAGTTCTGATGAGCTCGGCGCCGGTTCCCACTGCCTCTGCTCGTGCTGTCTGTGGTCACACAGTGCTCCTCCGGGAGCACAACGGCAGGCCAGGCGGTCTGCTGCCTCTCACAGACAGCAAGAAAGAGGCTGCGAGGTGATGGCCCCGTCGGGAGGGCCGTAGGCAATGCGTGGCTCTCCCACTCGCTGTCCCTTCGCTCCCATCTCACTGCGAGATGCCATTGGGGCATCTGCAGAACGCTGGGCTGATCTGTGGCTCAGGCTCCTTGCTCAGGTAGAAGGATATTAATTGGCTTTGCTATGTGCCGATTGCCCCTGGGGCTGCTCGGGAGGAATAAGAAGACGTCAGATTTAAAAAATAGCTCGTTTCTGCCTTTCTGCTGCTGCTGAGTGTAGTGTGTATTCAGGGGAGCGAGGTTGTGAGAGGGGAGCGAGAGGAGGAGCGGTTGTTGGGCCCTGCTGTGGCTGTGGTTGGATTTCCACTTCCTGTCCTGATGTATTTAAGGCTTATCCAGCCCCTTCCCCTTTCCTTTGTGGCTGAAGGCCCTGGAGCTGCCCCCGCTCACATCTCCAGGACAGATTCCCTGCAGTGGCTCAGTCGAGAGCGTTAATTGCCATTGCACCGATTGCTCCTGGCACTTGTGACACTGGCTGGAGACCAGGTGGCACCCACAGTTCTGGGCACATCTGGTCCTGGCACCTGGTGGACAGGCAGATGCTAGGTCTCTGGGGGCAGCTGCCCCTTGGAGCTAGAAACGTGAGGCCCGGAGTGCTGGGAACATGGAGATGGAGGCAGAAGATGCAGTGTTTGGGCACAGAGACTGTTTGTGGTGTGCTTCCCCCACCAGGATGATGGCTTCTGGGTAGGAAAGGGGGCTCAGGGGACACCAGGGACCTTCTCTGTCCCATCTGCTGGTGACACAGCCCCAGATACAAGGCCACTTGGAGAACAGGAGCATACAGCAGATTTAATCAGCCTACAATCTTTAGCCCCCACCTCTGCGCACACTTCCCGTTCACTGCATTCTCTTTCTTACCACATTCCTTTCTGTCTGCAGTGTTACACTGTAGGGCAGTGCCATCGGAGCTAACCCAGGATGAAGGCAGCACAGTGGCAGGGAAGTTACCCTGGTTCCATCAGCTCTTGGGGCTGATCTGCAGATCCCCCCTTCGTGCTTTGCAGCCATCACTGAGTTGTGCAGTGCCATGTGGGGCACTGGGCGCTCCCAGAGCTGTTGAGCCCAGGCAGAGAAGCACAGTTGTGAACCACCCCGCCAGCCCCACTGCTGTGTGTCCCCTCTGCAGATTGGAGCTACCAGGCTCCAGAGCAGCAATCACTTCCCCCACCCATCTCTGGATTCTCATGTTTTGTTCATGGGACGTAGCAACCAGGTAACCCCTGGCTGCCACGTAGTGCTGATAGGTTAGCCAGGAAGCCATAAACCCTGCTGTAAATGGCCAGCAGCAGGTCTCCAGCTTTGCAGTGCTGCAAGCACAAGCTGCGCCTTTCCAGAGCCATTTTCCATCGGATCAACAAGGGGAACTGATTTGTGTTTCCTAGCCCCAGTTCAGTTAACACCTGGTGCAGAATGTGGGGCAGCCTCACTGTTGTTGACCCTGCATCCAGTCGGCCCCGCTGCCTTTTCCCAGCCCTGCTCCTGGCGCCTGCCCTCCTCACCCCTCTGTGCCCCACGCCCTGCAGCCCTCAAGCCTGTCACATGCCACGGGCACGTGACACGTTCACCAGATTATTACTGGTCTGCACTGGAAGCAAACCAAAACGATGTTGGTCGTACCGTATTGCCTGGCAGCTGAATTCAGCATGCCTGGGTGCACACAGTGGGCAGAGTCCCACCCATGGCCCTGGGGAGCTCCTGGCACAAAGGCAGTGCCCACAATCTGAACCATTTATGATGCGCATCTCAGCAGCTCCCACTGTGCTTCTCATGCTGGGGTTAGGTTTGGTTTCCCTCCTCTCCCTTCCTGCAGCATTGCTGACAGCTGTGAGAATGCGGCTGGGCCCTGCTCCGTGCACAGCCATGGACCTGAGCACTGGGATGGCTGCCTGCCTTGCTGTGAGCAGACACGAGCGCAGCATTGCTTGGGACCACAGGAGCAGCTGCACGTGGAGTGCAGACCCAGGGCACCAGGGCTGTTCTCCTGCTGGCCCCAGAGGCAAGAGGCAGTGACTGTGCAGTGCAGCCCCAGGGCCAGGCTTGGACACTGTCCCGACTGAAACAGATGCTGGGCTGGGTGGCCAAGCTTGTGTTAGGGCAGTTTGGCTCTCACACGATGTGAACCCCAAGCTGGAAGTAGGCTGTATGTGCAGGGATGATGTAGGTGCCCTGTTTGTATGCTGCTGCTAACATCTCCTTCCTTTTTTTTGCTTTTTCCTTTTTTTTTTTCTTTTCAGACTGCGCTCAGTGCTTTTTTCCAAGAAACAAACATCCCCTACAGCCACCACCATCAGATGGTAAGTGCTCTCCCATCCCTCCTGTCCACAGCATCAGCTGGCAGGCACATGGGGCCATCACTTAGCCCAGCTCACTGTTTCCCAGCTCCCACAGCGCAAGCAAGAGTGATCTGATAGAGGATGCTTTGGGCATGGCCTGCAGTCCCAGCACAGCAAAAGGAGGCTGAAGGGTTTCTGGAGCACCAGACCGCATAGACTTTGTAAACACATGAGCTCTTGTGCTCTCACTGGAGCACCTGAGTGTGCAAACCCCTGTTCCTGCAGGGGCACACGAAGGACATGAGCACACATGAGGCCATGCATGCACATGGGTGCTGCCTGCCCAAGCAATCTGAGATTCTGCCCCTTTAACTTTCGTGCCTCAGCAAACTGTAATCTGCCTGGGCAGATGTATCTTAGGGATTTGCTGGCTGCTGTGTCCTTATTTGACTGTACAGGACAATTGGGGATTTGGAGCATGCAGTAAGCTTGCAGAGTGAATGCCCGGCGGGGCTGGGCTGCCGTGGGAAGGGGCTCTGGGGCAGAAGCTGAGCCTGGTGCCTGCAGAGCCACACGGCAGCAGGACAGGGGTGGTATGGAGGGAGCCTCCAGCGTAGCTGGGCACAGGAACACACGCGGCAGGGTCCCATCCAAGAGCTCTTGATGCAGAATCAAGCTTCAGGGCCTTAAACATCTGCAACCGACAGGGAGCATCATTGGTAGAACCGCAAAGTAAGGTGAGAAGATTGCAGCAGAGACCAAGGCAGCACTGTCCCAAGGCTGCTGGCAGCTGCCGTGTGTGGGACATCATCAGGACACGATGTCTTGTCCCTTTCTGCCTCTATGCCTCCCCTTCTTACCTCTACCCCAAGCCAGGGGCTGGGTTGTGCTGGCTAGGTCCTACAGATCAGCGCTGTGCATCAGGTCCAGGCAGCTTTGTGTGCAGCAGAGCTGAGGGGCACTGCCTCAGTGGGAGGCAAAAGATGGAGACCATGAGCTGGGGATGAGCCCCGGCCCACTGACTGCCTCTCTCCTTCCACAGATGTGCACTCCTGCCAACACACCAGCCACGCCGCCCAACTTCCCCGACGCCCTCACCATGTTCTCCCGCCTCAAGGCCTCCGAGAGCTTCAACAGCAGCAGCCCTGTGGCCTCTATGGCGACATCCCCGCCACCCCCAGCCCCACCGCTGCCCCAGCACGGGGCCTTCAACCCTGCCTGGCCCACGGCCTCACCCCCCGGCCAGCAGCAGACCATGTGGACTCCAACCCCCCCAGCGCAGCCCGCGGGCTGGCCCGCCACCGTCTCCCAGCAGGCCACAGCAGAACAGAAGGCCAACGTGACCATGGAGGCAGAGAGATGAGGCTGCGGTGGAGAGCGATTGCAGCGGGGACCCCTACATATAAATTTATATATATATTTCTCCCCCCCCCCTCCCCAAAGAGGAGAGAAACTGCTGCCAGGGGGTCTGGCAGCCACAGAGACACATGAGCAAATAGCTGCCTTGCATGGGTTTGGTTTGAAGTAGTTTTTACTTGTCCTAGAGCTGAGCAGAGCTCCCCAGGGACAGCGGGAGGCTGCGTGGGACAGACTGCTGCCAGCCTCTGCCTGGACTCGGGGAGGGTGCAGCCCCCTCCTTTGGGACACTGGAATTTGCATGCAAGTAACACTTATGGAGGAAGAGGCTCCTTCTTCACGGTCCCTGCGCCAGACCTTGCCCAAGTGCCCCCTTCCTTTGGCCTCATGTGGCAGGATGGGGGGCAGATACCCCATATTGGTTCTTCATGAGGAGAAGAAGGAGAGCAAGGGCTGCTCCTGCACCCTGTACTGCTGTGCTGGGGGTGAGCAGGGCTGAGGCAGGCACAGAGCCCCGGGGGCAGATGTGGAGCCCTGGGTGAGCCACACAACATCCCCTCACCTTCCTGGGATGGGGTTTGCCCTGGGGCTTTCTGCATGACAAAGTGTAACCCTACAGACTGGGATCATTTTTAACCCCTCTGTTCTTTTCTTCTGGCAGCTGCAAGTCTCTCTGGACATGTCGCAGCTGCTTGCAATACATGCTCTGCTTTGAACCCAGTGTCTTTGCTTCGTTTGCAGCAGTGGTGGGATGTGAAGAACATCCAGTCCAACCCCACCATGGGCAGTAACACCTCCCACCAATTCAGACTGCCCAGGGCCCCATCCACAGCCTTGGGTATCTCCAAGGATGGGGCACTCATGACTCTGGTCAGGGCATCACTGTGCTCTGCGTGACAAACTTCTTTCCTATATCCAACCTAAATGTCCCCTCTTTTAGTTTAAAACTGCTGCTCATTGTCACTACAGAGCCCTGTAGAAGTCCATCATTCTTATAAGCTCCTTTTATATACTGAAAGGCTGCAGTGAGTCTCTCCAGAGCCTTCTCTTCCCCAGGATTAACAAGCCCAGCTTCCTCAGCCTGCCTCTGTAGGAGACATGCTCCAGCCCAGGGCTAACCAGGGACCTGTGGACTGGTTAGAGAGCTCACTGGGACTCAGCATGATCCAGAAGCATCCCTGTGGGGAAACATCTCAAAGCGCTGTGGGGAGAGCAGCACACACCTGGCTGGGGCTAAAATGGGGCAGGAACCACCTGCACTGCCCCATCCTAGAGGCTGCACCAGGACCTCTGCAAGGTCCTCCCCCAGGATGCCCTGTATGCTCAGGAACCACACAGAGCCCAGGCAGCACAGGAGAGAGATTTATGGCATATGGTGTTACCCTGCTGTGATAAGAGGCTGTGAGGGAGAAGGAGAGGCTGGGGCAGCATGGCCCCCACCCCTCCAATCCCTGAAGCCCCTTGCTGTACACTCACACCACCCGCAGCCAGCTCATACACCTGCCATCCTGCTGCCGCCAGCAGAGGCCGGCCAGCGACCCGCTGAGGAGACCATCCTTGTCCGCATGGCAGCACCTGCAGCACAGAAGGACAAACAGCACGGTGTGGGGCTCAGCCCTGGCAGCACACAGCGGGGTGAGCGTGCACAGCAGGGCTGACTGTGTGTGGGACACCTGGGACAGGCACTCACAGGAGTACGGGGACACGTATTGGCTGCCATACTTGGGGTTGCGGCGCACCTTCTCTGCAGTGTGCTGGGCAGAGGGCTGAGGGGATTTTGTGCCTTCAGGGCAGAATGCAAAAGCACTGTTAGCAGCAGGACAGGCTGAGGTAGCACCTGAGCCACTTCAAGCACTGCTGGCTCGGGCTGGAGTTAACACAGTGCCCCAGGGCTGCTCCCCTACCTGGGAAGTCCCTGCCCCGAGTGGCTGTCCCATTGGTGGCCTGTGAGCTTAGCCTGCCCTTGTAGATGATTCCGTCAATGCCCAAAATATCCACTTGACCCTACAGGGAGGAGCAGCAGATGCCATTGGAGGTGCTCAGCTCCCAGCATCCCACCCCAGCTGGGCCCAGCTGGTTTCCAGCACACACATCACACAGGGACGGGCCTCACATTGTTGTAGGTGAGGTCTGCAGGGACTCCGAAGGGACAGATGGTAGTGAGGGAGCTGGAGGCAGACGGTGGCCTGGTGGGAGCTGTGGGACCCTGGCTGATCTGGTTGCGCCCTTCGGTCTCCCTGGGAAGGAGATGGTAACTGATGTTACCATTACTGCCAAGGGAAGGGGACCCCAGAAGGAGAGGCAGGGACCTCCCTGGCCTCACCTTCCTGGCAGCTGCTGTGCCAGGCAGTCGGAGCCACCAGCACTGGCCTTGCGGACTGTCACCAAAGGCCTGCAGGTGAGCAAAATAAGGCAGAGCTGGGCAGTAGCGCAGGTGCAGCGCACAGTCTGCACACTACTCACAGCCTTGGGGCTGCGGCCAGAGGTCTGTCACAGGAGATGCACTTCATGGGATCAAAGAGGTTCCTGCAACATAGGGGCAGTTGCTCAGCATCCCACTGGCAGGCGGGGACCATGGGAGGTCCCATGGGTGGCCAGCACCCGATGGGCAGAGTGGGACAAACAGGATCTGTACGGGACGGACAGGGCAGGGCGGGACAGGATTGGAAGTGATGAGATGGGACAGAGAGGGACAGGGTAGTGTGAAGGGGGGTAGAATAAGAACTAGCAGCCCTCACCTCTTGAGTCTATTGGCACTGCTGGTGTCAAAGTAAGGTCTCTGGCAGTGGCACTGCTTGCTGAGCCTCCAAGTCTGCTGCCGCTGTGCCTGCACCACACGGCACAAGTTCAGGAAGGGCAAAGGGACACCAAGCCCATTTTTGGGGACACTGCTGCCCCTGGGGGATGTTGGCAACACCCCAGGACTCTCGCAGCCCTGGCATAAGGCAGGCTCAGTGCTTGCCCTCTCTTTGCAGACTATACACAGGGATACCGTCCCCTGGTCTGGCACGTCCCTCCATCCTCTCTGGGTGACACTGCTACCTTGGAGTTCCTCTCTCTGGTGAGCTCTGAGGCTTTATGCCTGTCCTGGCCACACAGGAACATCCTCTGCAGCAAGTCCTGCATCATCTCACTCAGCTGGGCCATGGTATTTTGTAACTCATCCTGGCTTGCTTTGGTCTCCAGTGTAGTCCTATCTGCTTTCTGAGAGGATATGGTGTCAGCCATCTCCAGCAGACCTCCATCCCTGCACGCCCATGCTCTGCCCCTGTTCACAACACCCACGCCCCATTCTAACAGCACACAGTCTGCAAAATCCTGCCACGCTGAACAACTTGAGGTGGGGACACACCAAGGCTGGACAGGCCTGCCTCCAGCCTGGACCTGACACTAACTACAGCACGAGTGGCTCCTGAGCTGAGCTGGTGACCACACTCACCTGAGTGTCCTTGGAGTCACCCCACAGCTGCTCTGCAGCCTCCTGGAGTCTTGTGCACTGCTCTTGCAGCTGTCCCACCTGGTTCAGCACCTCCCTGCCGAAATCTGACCCCTGGCAAGTGTACAGCACAAGGAAGCCACATGAGGTGGGCTCCTGAGTGGCCCCAGTGTGCTCCTGGTGAGTGGAGCAGTGGGCTCCAGGCCACTGGGCAGCACCCCTGAGGCCTGGGCAACCGGACACTTTCTCTCCTTTGTCCTACAGGTGCCTTACTTCTCCCTGCATCTTCTCCGTGGCCACATCCTCTGAGGTCCCCAGGCCAGCTGAAAATACACCAAAGCTTTGCTGCAGGCAGCTTGGCTGGGAGAAAGACAGAGGGACACAGGGGCTGCAGTGGAGTGAAGACTCAGCAAGGATGGCTGAGTGTAGCCATTGTCACGTGTTGCACCTAGCAAGGCCACAGTGGCTCAGCCCAGCACAGTGACCCAACACGGTGGATAAGTCAGTGCTCACCGTGCTGCTGAAGCGTGCTCTTGCTGCAGGTGATGCAGGTCTCCACACTCTCGTGCTGCTCCAACAGCCCGCTCAGCCTGCATGGGGCCTCGAGAGCTGGCTCCTGTGAGGACTCAGGGATGAGGTCCTGGCTGGAAAGCTTCTGAAATGAAACAGCCCCAAGGTTTAGGGGAGGGAGAAGAGCCCTGCCAGCCTCCAGCTGGAGCTGGTAACCAGGAGCATGCACAAACCTCACCAGCAGGCAGCCTGCAGAGCGAGCACAGCATTCCGGTCTGCCAGGGGAAGGAGCTCAGCTGCTGCCGCACCTCCACCTGTGACCAGCAGAGAAATCAGCCCTGCTGTGGCAGGGAGAGCCTGAGCAGCCTCTGCAGTGAGGACAGGACACCAAACCTGGCCAGCACACCCAGTGCCATGCTGTCTCCAACCCTGCAAGCCAGTGCCAGGGGCTGGGTACTTGCTTCCAGCCGCTTTGTCAGGCTCACCATTTGGCTCAGGATGTTCTGCAGGAGGTGGCTGTGTTTGTCCTGCTGTATCACCTGCTCTCGCAGCTCCTCCAGACCAGTCTGATAAACAGGGACATCAAAGGGCTCAGCACCCACAGGGACTGAGACTGGTATCAGTGTCAGCAGTGTCCAGTAAAGGCTCCATGCAGCCAAACAATGCCTGTGCTGGACACTGCTGGGCATTGTTTCTCCAAAACCCCTGGGCAGATCCCAGCTCCATTCATCCCTGTAACCCCGTGCCCCTTTGCCATACGTGGAGATGCCCATAGAGTCTGACAGCCCCCCCCGCTAAGAGCTATTTACCAAGTGCCCAGCTCCACTCACATACCTTCTGGAAACTGTCCTTCAGGAGCTGCAGCTCTTCCTGGAAGGCCTGGATGGTGGTTTTCAGGGAGCAGGTGTTGGTGAGCACCTCCTGTAGTGTGTCTGTGACCTGAGGAACAGTGCCCAGCCAGTGCCTCTGAGCGGCATGCAGCACCTGGGACTGGAGGGCCCTCTGGGACACAGAGCTCAGACCCTGAGGGGCTGCCACATCATCAAGCTCCAACCCCACTGTCATAGGCAGAGTTGCCAAACAAACACTAGCTCAGGCTGCCAAGGATCCCATCCAGCCTGGCCCTGTGTGCTTCCAGGAATGGGGCACCTACACTTTCCCTGGGCAACCTGAAGTACCTGTCAGCAGATCACAACACAAAGTGTGCATCATGCAATGGAGGCACTTCCTCAGATAAAAAGGGGCAGATAAAAAGTAGCCAAAACCACCTTTGGCCAGTGGCAATGTTAATGTATTGCAGTCTAATGAAACCTCATAGCTAAGCTACCATCACCTGAACTAGAAATACGGCCCTGTGCTATGCCAGATTCTCCAGTCCTGTCTGAGGAGACATCTCTGGGGACGTGGACACGACACAACACAGGCACAGCACTGTGTGGGGCAGGATGCTGAGGATGGCTCCTCACCTTCGTCATCCCCTCCTCAATCACCTCTATCCTCTTCCTCAGCTGCACCATCTGCTCCGTGTCAGCGGCCGGCGTGCCAGGTCCCTGCCCAGAGCTCGGCAGCTCTGTCACACCCAGGGACCCGCCAGGATGGCCCGGATGGAGGAGAATGGGGGGCCTGGCGCTGAGCTCGGGCTGCAGGAGGCCCCTCTCGTCCTCGGAGAGGTGTGTGGCGGCATTTTGCAGCCGCAGGTGCTCCAGCAGCCCGCGCAGCAGGAGCTGCAGGGCGCCGGCGTTGACACCGCAGCCACGGGCCGTGCGGAAGGCGACATCCGCCAGCTCCGCCAACGTGACCGCCACGCTCATGTCGCCTCCGGCACCCGGCCCGGGCCGGCGGGCTGAGGTCACAGCGCCGTTACCCGGCGACAGCCGGGGGTTCCACCCCGCAGCGCAGGGCCGAGCCGCCGGCGGTTCGGCGCACGGCGTAGCCGGGCCGCTCTGACAGCCGCCCGCGGGGAGGGGGCGCCCGGCCCGCCCCGCTACGCCAGGCCGCGGCTCCGCAGGCCTCTGCCGGTCCCGCCCCGCAGCGCAGCGCCACGCCCCGCAGGTGCCAGCACGGAGCGCCGGGAGCCGTCGGCCTGCTGCGGTAGGTGCGTGTGCGGGGCCGGGAAGGGCAGCGCGCGGGGCGCCGAGAGACGGAAAGCCGGGGCTCCGTGCCGCGGGCAAAGCGGCCTCGGGAGGCGAAGCCGGAGGGGGGCGGGGAGGCCCGGCTGTGCCGGCGGCGCGGGGACGGAAGGGTCGGGCGTGCCGGGGCCCGAAATGTCACCGTGTGGAAGCGAGGGCACGGGCTCGGAAATAGGCCGAACGGGGGCTGTCGTACGGCCCGCCGAGGGGCTGCGGGGAAAGGGGAGCGGGGCCGGAACAGACAGGGAGAGAGAAACGCTGCGGCTGGTGGGGACGGTGCAGGCGGTGTCCGTCAGCGCGTTGGCAGCTCCCCGTGAAACGAGAAGAGCCCTTCCTGCTCATGGATGCCGTTGTGCAACAGCGCGTTCCCGGTAGGAAATACTGGCAGGAGGCTCCAGCCACGGGAGCGCACAGACCTCGGTTCTGCCTCCCACGGGGATCGGAGCGGCAGCTGCCACAGCTGTTACGGAGGCGTTCGGCTGCTGGGAGCTGCGGGCCCCTTGTGCTGCTGTCCTCTGGGCTGCCTGAAGGAGCCACGCTCAGGCTGAAGCCTTTCTGGGTCTCTGCGAGCGTGGGTGTGTGAGTACAGGATGACCATAACGCGTCGCTCATTCGTACTCAGGAACAGAACAACCTCGGGTCACCGTGGGAAGTGCAGGCTGAGAACTTCCCCAAAGGTTTCCCTGACTGAATGGTGCAGCCACATCCACGTGCCCAGGAGATCTCTGGAGCAGCTAGCAACGTGGCTGCTCTGTTGTCCCTGGGCGCTCTGTGAGGAAGATAGAAAGAGAACAACCTTATGAATGCCTGCAAGGCTGCACTGTAGCGTGGGCTGGGGCAGAAGGGGGCGAGGCCATGATGGAGGGGCAGCTCTCCCAGGCATGCCCCGAGCTGGGCTCTGGTGGCTGCATCCACGCGGGGCTGGGTCAGGCTGTGCTGAGTACCTATAGTGTGACTGGGACAGGCAGCAGAGAGGGAACTTCTCCTTCAGAGCCGCAGCCCTTCTCATGACAGAAGGCTGTGCCGAGGTCTTGCTGTGCTCCCTCAACAGGTCCTACGCAACTTCAGTCCACCTGAAGTTCAGTTCCTCAGGCACCTGCACTGACTGGAGCTACTGTTAAGGAGGGAATGTGTCTCTATCAGTGCCATGTCTCATTTTCTGAGCATATTTTTGGAGCTCACCTCCCAGCTGACCACGCTTTGCGCATGCAATGTCATGCAGTGATGCAAAGCACGGTTACTGCTCTCCTCAGGATGGAGCACAACTAGTGGATGCTCTCCTCCAGCTAAAGGTGTTCTGACAGGGTGCACCCACAGCACCAGTACTGTGCTCTGGGGGTTCTGCGTTCTCAAGCAATCGCTCCCAGTGCCAGCCTTACTCACCAAAATCACAAGAGGAGGCTGCAGGCTCCCGTGCCCCTTCAATTCAGAATTAGACAAATACTTGCATTTAAGTTGTGTCATTGGTGCAGAACTCTTCCAGCTCAAGTGGTTGTGGAAGGAGGCAGGCAGTCTTCTGTAGCCGCTCAGATCTGAGGTCTTCTTTTTGCTATAAGTAAGAAGAAAAATGATATCAAGTCTTCCACATCTGTCTGTAGTGCCATTATAAAGCTCAGTTTGTTTTCTTACAATTGCTTTAATTGGAAGACAATAACTTAGCCTGAAAGAAGCTAAGTCTTCAACAGTCTTTTGGTATAATTTCTGTAGGGCCTGCAGCCAGGCCGTGCATTACTGCTGGTATTACCATAGGATGTGCATGTGCTGAGTGTCTGACAGTGATGAGACAGTTTTTCTACACGAAGACACGTTTACTTTGCACTGGGATAAAATTGATGGCTGCCAGCTGAGAGCAGGAGCAAATAGTATTTAAGCAATGTAAAGATTAAAGTAATAACAAAGGCAGCAGGGCTGAGTTTAATTTCAGGATTTGAGACAGGTTTGCCAGCTTCTAAGTGAAACGTGAAAGGACACAGCAACGAGGAGCTGCTCTCCCAGAGTGACCCCATGCAAAGCTGCTGAGAGCAGGGAGGGCAGGGAACTGGAGAATGGCAGGTGGGTGCTGATAGTATCGCTGCCTGATGTTCTAAGAGGGAACAGTTAATCACACAGTGCTCTTCTTTCTGCCCAGTGCACTGAGGGTAGTGGTTTGTCATGGGAACTGCAGCTGCTCTGCTGATCTTTGTGGAGTTCAGGTTTGTTTTTCACTTCTGGGGTCTGGTTTTACAGCCGTTGTGAAGACAAAGAACTGCAGCCTGAAGGTGAGATTTGTTCTCCCAAGGATTTCAGAGCAAGGTTTGGGAGTGTGCCACTTTACAAACAGATGTTAGTACCTGTTTTATCTTCGGAAAACACGTGGCACACAACTTCTCCTTGGGACGTGACGTTCACGCTGCTTTCCTGTTGTTCCCCGTTGCTGTTTTCCTGTGTTCCCTGTATCAGTCCCATGAGCAGCAGCACAGCTTCCATAGGCAGCATCAAATCCATGCATGCTGCACTGTGTGCATCTCCTCACGTCAAAGGGAACACAATTAACACAGAAGCCATAAAAACCACAGTCCATTTTCTCATCAGTACAGAGGCCGGGGGAGCTCCGCTTTTACTTCTGGCACAGAACGCTGACAGAAGCTCTTCTCTGCTGCTGAAGCATTGCTTTCAGCTCATTCACTCCCAGGTGTCTCGTGGCTGTGGTCTGCCTGACATCTGCTGTGTTCTGGGAAAGAAAAGGCTGCCTGGTAGCCTAACAGGCACAGGGCTGCAATGGAGGTGGAACAATATCTTATAGTTTAAGAGTGTTCAAAGTTATGTGCTGAGATGGTGGGCCCTCCACCCTGCACCAAACATTCCCATTGTGCATGTCCCACACCTGCTTTGATCCCAGTCTCTGCATTGAGGTGGAAGATCTCCCCCAGAGGGTCTTTGTTACCTTGCAGCACCAATCTGATGGGCCTTGGGGGGCAAGGGAGATCCAGAGCCTTTTCTTCTTAACATACTCTGAAGCAGCTGATGAGAAAGACACAGCCCCCTCAGTCATTTGGGAGGAGCAGCCAAGCAATCGCATTAAAAATAAGCCCTTGGTGCTCAGAAATCCCTCGGTGTCTTCCCAAAGCCCCACAGCTAGAGAGTAGGTGTAATCTTTGAGATTATGGGCAAAGGTTGCTGTAACCAGGAGAATTATTGTACAATCGATTTCATTTAGGTCACGGAACGAAGCCTGTCACGTGGAAAGATGTCAGGAAAGCTTAACCATAGCCTGAGCTTTCAGGACTGGGTGGGGGAGTCCTGAGTCTTGGTCCCCAGTACAGCTGCTGTCCGTGTTTCCTCCCCCCTTGGCCATGACTCAGCCCTTCCCACAGCTCTGTTTCCTGGTTGCTGTTGTTGGCCAGTAGCTCCTAGCTGATAGGAGCAAGGAGACCCTCGTGTTGTTTTGCTGTTTTCTCCTCTCGCTTGTTGTTACACCCTGCTTTCCTCCGATCTTTTCCTTGTTCCTGAATTACTGAATCATCTCAAGTAGCTGATATGGTGTCCCTTATTCAGTTATCTTTGCTGAATAGCTTCAGTCTTACTAAGAGCAATGCTCTTTCTGTTAAGACTTAGACAAGTGGGAAGCAGGCAGACCCAGTATCTATTTTGCTTTGAAAATACAGTTGTCTTTAAAAGCAACAGAGGTCCTCTATGTTTTCCCAAATTTCATGGTTGCCAAAAGAAACGTCTGTAGCACAATGGAAAGTGCAGTTACAGCAGAACAGCAAGATCCCAGGCTGCAGCAAGTGAGGATTCACTCAAAAGCAACAGCATTGGGCACAGAAATAAAGAAGCTGCTTACCTTCAGAAAACCTCAGGTAGGCAGGGATCTCCAGAGCGATTCTCTCATCTCCACTGCCAGCCCTTAAATGAGGGGTGGGAAGGGGAGGTTCCTGGCTCCAGCCCTTCTGGTTACTCAGTGCATTGCTCGCACCTGAGCTCCCCTGGGCTGGCCCTGCCTTCCCACCAGGTGCTCCATCACTGCTTCAGGCTGTGACTTAGCATTTCTGCTACAAAGTCTCAGACAAAAGCATCAGAGAGCTCAAAGCACATGATGCCCTAAGACAGTTGGGTGTGAAACTCTCTAAGGCTCGTGTTGTAGTGTTATAAAGCAGATGTTCTTCAATGTCAACAGTGGATGCATAAGAGTAATCCTGCTATTATGCACAGCTTACACAAAAGATCTTCAGTTTATATGCATTACTTGTGTTACATATGCAGAAGTTTCCCAGAAGTGTGTTATGTATTCAGTGATCGATTCCAAGCAGGACCTCCAGTTTCCTTGGTGCAAAGACTCAGCAGAACTTCCTTATCTCCTTGGTTCAGACACGGCTCTTTCTGTTACCCAGATAAGAATTGCAGGGCAGGAATATCCACCAACGAATGCTAGCAAGCTTAACTATGTTGCTGTGCGTTGTGCCATGCAGGGGCAGTGTTCTTCTTTAGCATCCCCCCACGTTTTTGGATATGCTGTTTTGTTGTTAATCCAACCAAGATAAAAGCATTTCTGCATGAGGAGGCTCTGAGAACAGGCGCTGCTGGATGAAATCAGCCTTCCTGAGGGCACTGCAGCTGGAAAACCCAGTGATGATCCAGCCTCTGCACATAGCTTCAGTCCTGGGGCTTTTGGAAACCCTCTAACCAGCATCTCACAGTAAGGCAGAGAGGTAATGACAGAGAAGGGCTTTAGAAGAGCTCAGAAGGGAGGCTTGGGGGTGTTGCTGAGCATTAGTGATGCTTTGAAATCAGTGGAAGTGCCTGGGTTTTAAGAGGCCTTCTGCTTTCTGTGTCTGCTGTTGTGGGGTTGATGTGGCTCACATCCCGCACATGCCTCAATGGAGATGGTGCCCAGAGCTGTCCTGGGGAGGTATGAGGCCACTGTCTGTTCTTTCTCCCTTGTCTTCCAAGGGCACATAGCACTGTGTGCTCAGCTGCAGACCTCACTGAGCGTGGTAGCTGAGTTATGTCGGATCTGCTTGTGTCTGAGCAGGGCAAGTGCTGTGGCTCTCTGCATGTCCTGTAGGATTGCTGTGCCTCCCAGCAACCATCAGCAGAAGAGAATGGTGGGGAGCAGCTCTGACATGAGCAGAGCGATGGGTACATGGCAGTTCTCTGCATGCCACTGTTGAGCAGCAGGTTTGGGGTGAGGGCTTACAAAGGAGTTGGCAAGGGCTCAGATCCTACTCAATCCCAAACCATGCTTCACTGCTGTGGCCTTTAAAAAAGCAGATGACAGTGAGTATTTCTCAAGAGTCCTTTGGAAAAACACAAGGTGACTCTGTGCTGCTAAATAGGAGTGTCAGCAGCTCTGCTGGTGCCAGGCAGCACTGCTGGGGGGGACAGAAATGCTGGTGTTTTGGAGGCTGCGGCTGGTCCTGCAGTGAGCTCTGGCTGAGGAAACATCAGTACTTGGACATGTGTTGTGGAAGGAAAGTGGGCCTGGAATCATCACCCGTGTATTCAAAGTCATCTCGCTGTGTTGCACAGTCTGCGAGGGAGCTCCAATGGGGTCTGGGCACTGATTGGTCCTGGCTGAAATGTGTCTCTGTCTCCATCCTGTATGACTCTCGTTTCTTCCTCTGTCAGAGCTCAGTGTGTTATTTAATGGGAGCCCCACATCCATTCAGCTCCATTCAGCAGCAGTGTCGTTGCATTCTTTGACTTTCTCTGAAAAAATTCTATAGAATGAGTGAGTAATGAACAAACAGGCTGTTCTGATCGGGGTGCAGCAGCATCTGATGCTGCCATGTCAGCGGGGCGAGCAGTGTGTGGAGAGCTGTGCTTTGGCCACCCTTAAGGAGCACCAGCTCCTTAGAGGACCAGCACCCAGAAGACCACAGGAGCTGCTCACTGCTGAGCATGACTTGAGGTCACTGTGGCTGTTCAGACCTGAGGGGACAGCAGGATGGCACCAGGATCATGGTTCAGAAACGCCTGCAGGAGCTCTGTGTGCCAAATGCAGCCTGAGCTGTGATGGTGGCTGCTGGCAGACAGTGGGAGAGCAGGAAAGGCTGTTCAGGCTGAGGAGCAGGTGGAGGTAATCTGAGTACAAATAAACCTAGGCTGAAAACTGTAAGGTTTCCCATCCACTTAGAGCCAGGCTCTGCTCCTTCAGTTCAGAAGAACTCTGCATTTTTGGCTGGGAGGGCCATCTCCTCTGTCCATCCCCATCCTTTTACTGGTTACCAGCTCCTGTTGGGTCAAACGATCTTGAGCCAGGTCCTCAAAGGACACGTATGGAGTATTGGTGTGATTCCATCAGACCTTCAGCTCAGGTCCCACTAAACTTAGCCCGAGTTGTCTGCGCGACTTTTCTCCCTCTGGGTGCTCACCTCCAGCTGTGCTGGGATGCAGTGCTGGGAGCGATGTGCGGGGTGAGCTCTGTCTGGCACCAGCCCTGTGCTGGGGAGCCCTGCGCTCCTCATGGAGCTCCTGAGTGGAAATGGGCAGCAATGGGCTTTGTGCTTCTTGCCCTGAGATAAAAGAAAGCATAGGAGGAATGGCTTCTGAAAGGCTTAGAAGCAGCAGCAGGCTTTCCTTTCCTCCAGGGAAGGGCACACGCAACATCTCGCACTTTATGGATCTCTTTTAATAAGCAGGATGTTGCATTAGGAGTGGCTGAGCACGAGCAGAGCAGCTCTGCGGCCCATAAACACCCTCCCTTCCTCTGACGGCCATCCCTTCGGGCCAGGGACAGCTGGTGTGGGATGGTAACAACTGGTGTCAAACATCAGCCTGTGCTCTGAGCTGGAGGCAGCAGCTCCTGGTGCCGGGCTCAGAACAAGTGCTGCAGCACAGGGCTGGCACTGCCCCTGGGGCTCATCTCCCTGTGTTTTGTTAGTGGCGCGGGATGGTGGCCAGGGCGCGCTGCGAGATGCCGTGCTCTGGGAAGGCAGAGCTGAGCAGTGATGGGGTCTTCCCATGTGCGACAGAGGGAGCTCTGGGCTGCCCCAGAGGGCTGTGCTCCTGCAGGAGCCCCACACAGGGCAGGAGGGCTGGCTGCCTTCAGAAGAACAAACCTTTTTCTTTACATCCCCAGTGAAGCTAAAAGGGGTACGGCCCAGTTTGTGGCTTTGTAGGTCACGGGAGGAGGAGAGCTCTGCAGCGCTCGGTGCGCTGGGGATGGCTGCTTTGCTCCGCATGGCAGCGCTGTGTGAGCCTCATGCGGGCTGTGTGCCTGCTTTTAAGGAAGAAAACGGAGAGGAAGATGACTCCCCAGCTGCCCCAGTATTGTGATTGGAAGCAGTGTGTCTGTATCATGATAGTTAATAATGCTGGGCAGAGGTATTTCTCAGTAAATACTGACATCCTGGAGAGATGCAGTGGCTGTTTGGGTTCTGCTCAGCTCCTCAGTGCACCGAGCTGGTCCCCGGGGCAGCAGCAGCACCGGGGCACTGCAGCAGCGCAGTCCATGTGCCCTGGCCTGCCGGGAACCATTGCTGGGAGATTTGGATGCTGTGCTCAGCCCCTGGGGGAGCTCCAAGCACTGCCTCCCGGGCACTGACAGCAATGTCACAGTGTCCCCTGCCCCGTGCTTGATGGCAGCCTTCCCGAGCAGAGTGAACAGCCTCTTGGTATGTTTCCCAATTTAGTCACGTCCTACCAGCTGTAACTGAGCCAGAGTAAACAGGAAAATCGGGTTGCTTGATGTCACTGCACTTCCTTGGAGTGCCAGGCCCGCCTCTGGCTCCCATCCCTGCTGGGTCCCCTGCACACGGGGTTGGGGCCTATGCCATGCATGCTGGGTGGTGCAGCAGCCCCAGCACTGCAGGATCTGCAGGGGAATCCCCAGCCCACAGGATGAGAACTACCCCAGGCTGTGTCCCAGTCTCTGAGCATGCAGGTGGGGCTCTGCGATGGGCTGAGGACAGAGCAGCTGTGCCAGACACCAATGGGGTGCCCAGAGCTGCACTCCCATACCAGCACTGGGGAGGGGAGGTGAGGGCATGCAGCCAAGGCAGCTTTGCAGTGCTGTAACCTACTTGCTTTCTCCTTTTGCACAGGTTTGGTGGGGTAGGACAGTTTCCAGGGTGCACTGCTGAGAACTGGCATTCCTACCTCTGGCAAAACCACTGAGCTCCTTGCTGCAAGGAAGAGGCCGGGTAAGCTCTCAGCCATTGAGCCTGTGCCACCTCACGCTGCAATTTAGAGCCATCAGGCAGCTTCCACCCTGGGTTTGTAACCCAGCTCAGGGCCTGCCCAGCTTTGTGGCCAAGGCTTTGTAGGCTTTGTATTGCCCTCGATGAGGCTGAGGCTATTGCTGCAGTGCCACCAGGCCTCTCAGTCAGCTCCCAGCCAGCACCCCATAGCTCCCAAGGCGGGCTGTCCGCTAACAGTGCTTCTTTGCAGGGCAGCCCTGAGCCATGTCCAACGACCCTCCACCACCCTATCCTGGAGGCCCCTCAGCACCGCCGATAGAGGAGAAGCACGGCCCACCCCCTGCAACAGGTACTGAGGGTCCCAGCTGCCAGCAGGGTGCCTCTGCTGAGCAGGCAGGAGCAGGGGGAGCTCTGCTTGCTGCATGAATTTGGGCTTCTCATGGCCCTGGGTGTGCTGCCTTGGGGCAGTGCCTGATGGGCACTTCCCTGTGTTCTCTGTCGTGTCCCCAAAGTTGCCACAGACCCTCCATGTGTGCTTTATTCCCCTTCCTCACAGTCCCTCCTTCTCGTGCTGTGTCCTCTTTCCCCGCAAGGGCTCCAGATAGCTCAGCCAAGCCTCCACTGTCTGCTGCCTCCTGCCGTGGCTGCTCACTCTGTGTTTCCTTTCAGATGGCATCTCCCCAGCCATGGTGCAGCCCCAGGGGGCTCCCATCCCTCCTCCTGAATTTGGACCCCCCCCCGTATGAGCCTCCACAGCCGGGCTTCGTGCCCCCACACATGCCCGCAGAAGGCTCCGGGCCCTACATGCCGCCTGGTGAGTGTGGGGAGGAGCTGCGGGCCACGGGGTGGTGCTGGGTGAGGGAAGGCAATGAACGGGGGCTGGGCAGGAGGGGGGCTCAGTGCCTGCAGCGAGCAGCCTGCAGTAGGGCTGCCCACACACATAACTGCAGTGGTACGGCAGCAGGGCACAGTCCTTGGAGACATGGCCTCCTTTACCTCACGCAAAGACACATCTGTGCCTGTTTCTGTTTCCCAGCAGGTTATTATCCACCCCCAGGCCCTCACCCTCCCATGGGCTACTACCCTGCCCCTGGCCACTACCCGTCTCCCAGCGGCCACACGGCGACAGTGCTCGTCCCTTCAGGGACTGCCACCACAGTGACCGTGCTGCAGGGCGAGATCTTCCAGGGCGCCCCGGTGCAGACAGTGTGTCCCCACTGCCAGCAAGCCATCACCACCAAGATCACCTACGAGATTGGGCTCATGAGCTTCCTGCTGGGCTTCTTCTGCTGCTTTGTGGGGTAGGTGCCGCCAGCAGCCCTACCAGGGTGGTGCTTACTGTGCATTGCTCCTGGTGGCCCCGATGCCAGTGGCTGTGGCAGAGCTGTTGCACAGCTCACAGCTTTGTGGGGTGGCAGCGTTTGGAGCCCTGAGCTTCTGCTAGCTGTGAGGAAGCTGCGTCCCCAAAGACATTTTGTAAAGCCACCAGCATCAAAGAGGCTGTGTGCAGGAGCCATCGAGCCCTGTGCCCAGACCTTGTGGTGCTGCAGGTTGGCAGCAGCAGGGGTTGGATGGATGGGGGGGGGGGCTGCCATGGCTGGCTCACAGCAGCAAGTTCTCACCCCTTCTCCAGACCCAAGAGCAAACCCCACGCGTGGCCCCTTGCCTGCTTTCCTTCCCTGACCCACAGCTGGGAGCCAGAACTCACAGCACTCTGCATCTTCCCATGCTCCAGGTGCGATCTCTGCTGCTGCCTCATCCCCTGTCTGTTCGATGACTTCAAGGATGTGACACACACGTGTCCCAACTGCAAGGCCTATATCTACACGTACAAGCGCATGTGCTAACAGCACCCTGGGAGCCTGAGCTACTGGAATGACACCGGCCCCTCTCCCACTGCCGTCCTAATCCACGCGTGTGCAGCACTCCTTTGCTTACCCTTGGTGGTGTGTATGTGTGTCCCTTCCCTCCCTCTCGCTCCAGGCTGTGACTGCTTCCCCAAGCTCCGCTCCTCGCTGTGAACGGTCAGACTGGGGACGTGGTGTGGATGCACGGGGCTGAGCCCTAGGTGCTGCGTGCAGGGCTCCCTCTGACAGCTGCTCTGCAGCACAGAGGAGCAGGGCACCTCTTGCTCCAGGGCATCAGTATGGCCCCTCTCGCCTGGAGCAAGCTGGGGATGAGCAGCAGCTGCTGGAGTGCCCACCCCTCACTGCAGCCCACTGGACATGGTGGGGTGGGGGGAGCATGGATATGCTGCCCCGCTTGCTGTTCTGAGGGGATGGGGGAAGCAAGAGCAGCTGGCAGAGCACACTGCAGATGCAGCACGGCCACTGCATTCAATTGCAGTCCTTTTAGGAAGTGGCCTGGTGGAGGTTTGGAATTGAGGAGACAAAGCAGTCAGTGCCACGTTCCACCTGGCTCAGGGCCCTCTCCAGCCAGGTCAGTAGAACCTATAGGCAACGTGTCCCAGGTAGAGGCAAATGGAGCTGCCTTCAAGGCACAGCCAGGGAAAGGGCTGCAGCACAGCACCCTCAACCAGCCCATCCATCCTGGTAGGGAAGCCCCAGTGCCTGGTGTCCGCTGCTGCTCCAGCTGCATGCACCTCCTCCCAACCCTGCTGCAGGTGTTTCAGGGGAGGAAAGCCCCTGGCTGTTTCTCACCCACCTGGTAAGCTATTAGCAGAAGTGCATCCAGCATGTTGCTACCTGCCCCAGCGCTGTAGAATAGGGGACTTTGTTACCTGACTGCAGCTGGCTCCCAGCTCTGGAGCAGATCCCTACCCACTTGCTGCAGAGCTGCACCCCACCCCAAGCCCAGCAGGGTCTGTGGGCACCGCAGCAGCACCCACCCTGCTGTCACCACAGGTGCATCCTGTGGGGTTCCTTGTTGCATGTGGGTGTAGGGGTTTACTTTTAGCTCACTTTACATGGGGCAGAAAGATGGGGGCAAGCAGCAACACAAGCTGCCAGCAGCACTGTGACAGACAAGGGCCGGAGGACCTGAGAGCCAGTCTCAATTTCTGTGGGCACACCTCATCTGGTTCCCCCTGCTCTCACCTCCTGCAGTCAGGGCAGCAGAGGTGTGCAGCCCCCAGAACTGAGCAGAGGGGCTTCTCAGGGAGCATGTCTGCAAACAGCCTGGCCTGCATAGGCAGCTGCTGTTTGCTCAGAGGTGGAACTGTGACACTAGTCCCAGTATTTGTACGTAAATAAACATAAGACCCTGAGCTCAGTGTATGTCTTTTCCTTACCCCCCTGCAAGCAAATACACAGATCTACCCCAAGTTTGCTAAGTGAGGGTTGTTTGAGTGGGAGAATTGTGGCAGCATTAATCACTGGAGGAAGAGCAGCAGTTTCCTACCCCAGCTCAGGATGTTAAGGGCAGCATTGGGCCTGGCCCAGGTAAGGAACCTCCATTTGCACAACCCTGGGCTGCACTCCAGGTTTCCCCAGCTCCACCACTCAGGTATCCCTTCTCCAGTCCAACTGCTCACCACTGACAGCGCTGGAAGAAGGCAGAGAGGTTCCTGCACTGCCAAATCACCTCCTCACAGGAGCTAGGAAGAACTCAAGAGGCAGCAGTGATAGGGTGGCCTGTAAGGACAGGAGGACCTCTAGATGTGCATGAGTCAAAAAACTAAGCGGGTAAGTCTTCATCCACCCTGCTGCTGCCCACAGATCTCTTCCCCAGTCTTCCATAGCCCCCACATGGAACTACACTCTCCTATAGAGGGCCCTCTGGCTTTCCTCAGCTATAGCACAGCAGCTTTTTATTCCAATCAAGGCTTCAGCAAAGATAAATCGATGTTGCACAATGTACATTTGACACCTTCATACCAGCAACCCACACATTTGGTCCTGTCCCCTCACCCAGTGAGCGCCATCCAACACGAGTTATGCTTGGTCCCTGGGTCATTCCTTTGAGCTAACGGACCCACAGCATAGTCAGAGTATGACAAATGTTTGTTTCTCAGGGTAGGAAACTTGAGTACTCTTCTCTGAGAAGACCGACGACACATTCTTGGGTTGCAGCCCAGGGCAGGAAATTCCCTCCACAGACTGCTCCAGCCAAAGAAAAGCCAAGCACGTGAAGGCTTTGCCACTGCAGGACAAGACATCTCTAGCTTTAAAAGCTGCTCCAGCCAGCACAGAGCAGTGTTGAACTGGAATCTTCACATCCTCTTACCAGATCAGTTCCGTACACTAGTTAGCTAAAGACATTGCATTACAGTGCTTGCATTATTGGTGTGCAAGAAGTCTTGGATAGTCCCCCTGGATTTTTAACCTCTCCCTGCTTTATTTCCCCGCAGTCACTCCACCAACAGCAAGGGAGGAGTTGAAACAAGGGCAGGGTGTCTCTCCCCTCACCACCACATAGGGCCAGGCACCAGGCTTGGCATCACATCACATACCACACTGCAACTCCTGCTGCCACAGCAACACAAGCCGCCAGGATCAGCTGCACGATGGGCTGCTTTGCCAAGGCCACAGCAGTGTGATAGGGACAGCCAGCTGCTGCACTGCCTGCTAGAATAAAGAAAGCATTGTCAGTGCTGCAAGGCCTCTGCCACATTCACGTGGCAGTCCTCACATCACCCCAAGCCTACCCAGCTTATCTGCATAGTAAGGGCATTTGCGTACGTCTCCTTTCCCGTCGTGAACTGGAACACCTCCATCCTGGGCTTCTTCCACCAGCGACTGGCCGATCTTGTCCAGTTCATCAAACACCTGCAAGTGAGCACAGCGAGTGTGTGGAGTGAGCAAAGCCAGAGAGCTGCCATACAGACCCATGGAGACATGCACAGAACTGGCAAGAGCTGCTGCTGCCTGCCTCCACGCAGATCCCAAACGCAGCATCCGATACTCATTTCAGAGTGCCTTGCAGGCAGGTGTGTGGTGAGGTCTCACCTGGCACACACCACAGCTCTGAGAAGGCACAGCCAATGGCAAAAGCATCAGATTGCCTGCTGCACATGGGAGTACAGGGCAAAGAGCCCTCCCTGCTGCCAGACCCTCTCTGGGTTACTGCTCCCATTTGTGCAGGCCCTTCTAGCTCTGCTGGAGGGCTTCTGTAAGGATCCTGATGAAAGAGCTTGCCATATCCCACCTTGCTGCTGACCAGCTGACACCAGTAACATACTCCAGGCAGAGATTAAGGCTCACATCTGGTAACTAAGCCTACATTTATCTCCTACTGAAGCTCAGATGTGTTTTATGACTGGCAAACACTCTGGGCAGTAACGGGCCCATGGGGTTACAAACACTTCTGACCAGCCCACAGGTGAGACTGGATGCACTGCACTCAGGCTGAGTACAGCCATCTCAGAGAGCTCTGTTCCCACCTCTACTTCAAAGCCACACAGTTCATGGGAATCTCGCAGTGAAGCCATCTCAGCTCAGGCTCAAAGGTTCCACTGGGGCGTATGGCATGAATTCCTGCCCAATACCAACCTCATCTCCTTAAAATAGTGACAGATCTATTCAGACTAGGATCCCAAACAGCAAAGGCAGAATCCCCTTTCCACCAGAATCCCTTCATCTGGTCTCTTATCCAAACCACTGTGTATAAGGGCACAAAGGATTTAGTACCTCCATGTTAAATCTGAAAGCTCTGTTGGCCTCTTCCACGATCCGTTCCTTGCAGTTCTTGTCCAAGTCTAGAGCATTCAGCCTTGCTCTATACAGCTGCTTGAACTTCTGTGCATTGGAAATGTTCTCAAACGTGTAGAACTGGATCCCTTCCTCAGTAATGGGCAACTTGAGGGCCCTCTGGGCTACCTTCTTCAGCACTTGGCCACCTGAGAGGTCCCCCATGTAGCGTGTGTAAGCATGAGCCACCAGCAACTCAGGCTCATGCTGTCCCACATGATGGATTCTGTCCACATATTGCTGAGTTGCATCTGAACACTGTATCTTCTCTTTCCAATCTTCTCCATAGAAATATTTCATGTCTTTAATCAACGCTTCTTTCCGGTGAAGCTCTAGAGGGAAATACAGAGGAGCAAACACTGGGTTGTCCTTATTGCGATCCATTTCCTCTTCCAAAGCACTGTATGTGAAGTAAAGTGCTGTGGTAGCCAGCTGTGGACAAAGCACAGTGAACATAAGTTGCTTGCTCTATTGCATCTTGTGACTACTCCATCCCTTCATGGAACAGGGCTACACAAGGAAACCCCAGGGTGGACACAAGACCTGGAGAGCCTGTACTAGGCACAGGACCAGCTGCATCCTAAAGGTACCATTCACACCAACAGCCAAAGACTGACTGTGCCAAGACAGTACCCCACATCATCTCTTCTGCTCAGAACAGAAAACACTGACCTGAAATCTACAGAAAACAACAACCAGAGCCTGAAATGAGTGCTGTAAGCCCACATGGCTTTTGCTGCATAAGCACACAGCTTTTGCCATTGGTACATGTGCTGCAGCTGCCCTGAGCAGCCAGAAACACAGCACTTCCACCTAAGTGAAACTGTTCTGGGCCAGTATGCTCCTCACCATGCCGAGTTCCAGCTCTGAGACACACTGAGCAGCACAGGGCCCTCCAGTAGTGGTCACCATTCAGCCATGCCATCTAGAAACCAGTTCCCCCCCCACCCCTCACCCCTAATCTACCCCCTACACATGGGCCTGTGGTGTTCTGCCTCAGCAAGTCCCCAGCTGTAGTCATCGAGTACAACAAAGAGTTTCTCTGCCAAGGCAGCAAAGCCACACTCACCTTGAAGAGCTCCTTCTTGATCCGTCCTTTCAGGAAGTCTTTGACAAACTGAGTATTCTCTGCACGGTCGTGGGACTCCTTAGTCCCCTCCTTCAGCAGCTCTGAAAGGTCAGTCGGGCTGCAGGCAAGCAGGGAGAGCTCCTTTCACTCCACTCCCACATACAGTCATGAGTTTGTCCTTACTGAGTTTGGAGGGACCCTGCAGCCTCACCATCCCAGGCCTCGTCTGGTGCAGGTTCAGAGTAGGGATCCCTCGGTCCAGCCCTGCTGGCTGCAACCAGCATCACCCCCAGGAAATGTCAGGGTGACAGCAGTCAGGGCTCCCACCTGAGCCAGGCTTCACCCAGGAGCCCTGGTGCTGAGCAGGGGCTCCAGGATGCTGGAGAAATTGTGAAGGATTCTCAATTCCTTGCACTGGTGCTTTCACTTCCAACCCTGAGCCACAACAACACTAAAGGAGACCCTGAGCGTATCAAGAGCAACTACCAGGACAGGATAAAGAGCAGCAGGGCCTTGCTTCTATACTTCTTGGTCTCTTTGCAGAAGACAGCCTTGAGTAGGAGCAGATGGACACACACAGGCAGAACTTGAGCTTTTCTGACTGGGGCACCAAGGGTACTGCAATAATCATCACAGAAAGGACTTCAAAGATCATCCAGTTCCAACCCCCTGCTGTGTGCAGGTCGCCAACCAGCAGACCAGGCTGCCCAGAGCCACATCCAACCTGGCCTTGAATGCCTCCAGAGATGGGGCATCCACAGCCTCTCTGAGCAACCACTGGAGAAAAGATGAGAACCCACTGACAAAGCAGGGCAGGAACACTCTTAAAAACAAGAGGTATTCATTCTGAAATATGCTGGTTTTGCATGTTTCCACAAGCTCTCCTTCTAAAAAACTGATGATCTTGGATCACAGCCACTGCACGTACCTGGAACTCAGTACAGTTATCAACACCTACACCCACAAAATGATGCCACAGTGCACCTTACCCTGTTTTTATGGCTGGTTTGCTACAGACAGCACATTTACGTTAGCTGTAAAAAAGACATTTTGAACGCTCCGTACTCATGCAAGTAACAGGCTAGACAAGACTTGAACACAACAGGAGAGCCAGGGAGCATTAACCTCTCATGAAGCTGAGCCCATCAAGTCAAAGAGCAATCAATCAGCTCACTTCAGTATTCTGGAACCACCCTACTCACCCTTCCCATTTTCATATGAGGAAAATTTTCCTTTTAAAGCACAATTTAGAATGCTTTGAGCGCAGCTATTTGTTGTTTGGAGGGATAACCAAACAGTTTTGCGTAACTTTGAAGAAGTTCTGCAGAACTTGCTCTGTGTCAGGGGGAAGTTCTTTACAGAGAGAGTGGTGAGGTGCTGGAACAGCTGCCCAGAGAGGCTGTGATGCCCCGTCCATCCCTGGAGGTGTTCAGTGCCAGGTTGGATGGGGCCCTGGGCTGGTTGAATGTGGAGGTTGGTGGTCCTGCATGTGGCAGGGGGTTGGAGATTCGTGATCCTTGAGGTCCCTTCCAACTCCGGCCTCTCTGTGATACACCACCCTACAAGAACAGCCTTTGCATTTGTTCCTACTCTGTAGGAAGGTACACCTCCAACTGCAGGGCAGCCTCGGTCCTGGCTGGACTAGTTTTCAGCTAGAGAAGACTACAGATGAGCCAGGAGATCACTGAACTTGAGTTTGATGTGCCCTGCCTTACCCAAACCCAGCTCTGTGCCACATTACCAGACAAGGCCAGCAGCACTCACCTGACGTTGTCGTCTTCCATTTCCTCATAGCGTAAGCTTTCCCCTTCATCTCCTCCTTCTGAGTTCTCCATAACTGATGGCATTGCTGGTCTGTTCTGGAGATCAGAGACACTGAAAGGCAAAATCAGAGAGGGATTTTAGAGGGAAGCTGCCTTAACAAAAGCAATAACGGGGAGGAAACACGGAGCAGTCCAACAGGGAGCCTTGCAGCTGCACCACCACGCAGGGTGGTGAGGAGCAGCCACCAGACGTTTTCACAAGAGCCTTCCCTGCAACAGAGCAGATTATGTTCCAAAGCAGAGGTAGATTTTCTTTCCCGTGTGATGTAGCAGCATGCACAAGAAGTACCCAGAGCCAGGAGCAAGACACTTGGTTTATACCAGCTGAACACTCTGGCTTGGCCATAAATCCAGGCATCCCATTTATAAAATGGAGCTGTAATCAGCTTTGTGCTGATTACTCCCCCAAATTACAGGCAGCCTCGCCAAATGAGCAAGGAGCTGAGCTTCCTGCTGGCTCTTCAGCAAACCAAGGCTGTAAGGGAGTCAGCCCATCTCCCAGGGCTGAGTTCAGGCCTCCCTGGAGGGCTGCATCTGGGGACAGGAGGAGAGCAGACCAGATAAACAGATGAGAACAGGCCAAGCAAGCTCACAGAGCCTGAGCTGGCAGAACAGTCGGTGGCTCCACTCTCACGAGATGCAAACACAAACCAAGCTAGTTACCAATTAACTGCCCTCCAGTTCCTCACCTACTTCTAACCCTCTCAGGTGCCCTGGACCACCCTGCAGAGCTCTGTCCCGCAGAGCAGCTGGGGCTGATGGCACATCCCCAGGTGTGCTACAGCACAGCACACAGCTGGGGCACATTACCAGGGTGAAATTTCCACCTGTGCTCAGACAGCTCTCCTTCTCACCCTGACAGCCTGGCTCAGGTGGCAGCACAGATGAGGACCATGCAGGACCAAAACGCACTGCTCTGTGACATGAGTTAGCCCCGTGCAGTAGGAAAAGTAATGTGAGTTAAGAGTCCTACAGCCACACTATCTTCCTACCATTGGAAGGAGTTAGCACGTAAAAATTCATTTAAGGACCAAGTGCTCTCAGACTTGCACCTCCCAAGTGTTTTTTGGAGAAGCTCAGCTTGTCATGCTCATCTCCATAACAAAACAGCAATGAAGCCAGTCCTTCTAGCATGCTTTGAAGACAGTATGCCTGCAGGAAAATAAGGTAGTTTAATTTTCCCCAATACAGTCTCTAGTACAGACACCTCCCTGATGAGCCATGAATCAGGGACAAGGCAGCACCAACCCAATCCACATCTTCTGCGGTATGATGACACTGTAGGAGAACTCAGAGGAGAGGAAAATAAAAACATTTTAACTCTCCTGTCACTACAAACCCTCAGCAACTGAAATCCCACAGCACAGTCACTGGTCAAAGCAACGGCGTCCTGGAGCACTCCACTCCTCTGAAAGAGGCCGTGTCCTACACATGCAGAGGGAGCTCCCAGCAGCTGCCTGCTGGTGCTTCAGGGGTTGGAGTATTGCTTCATTTGCTCTGAGGCTCCTGGCTGACATTCAGAGTAAACACAGTCCCCAGCAGCCTGCCTGGGAGGGATCCAGCAGGCACAGGACAGCAGGGCTGGAGGAGATTTGGTACAGAACAGCTCAGCACTCCACATATTTCTTTTCCAATAACACAGCACTCAGTCCCTCCTGTAAAATATCCTCATCTAGCCAGCAGTTTGTTTTCCCCTACACACAATCGCACAGCAAGCTTCACACTCAACATGCATGGCTGTTGTTCTCAGATATTCAACGTGAATAATTCTATGCCTTCTGAAGGAATCCGAGAGACACCGCTGCAGTAAGAAGCAAGACTGGAAGTGCTGGCTTTGCTTGGGCACTCTCATCGGTTCAGTAGCTGACAGAACAACCACTCAATACAGAGCTCATCTCTGCAATTCAACCAGCACACGGCTCCGAATGCACACGGCTCAGATCCTTGCTTTAAAGCAGCAGAGCACGACTACACCTACCCAAACATCTCTGAAGGTGGGGTGAGGAAGGAGATAGACCCCAGAACTCCAGGCCTGAGGTCATGACTAAAGAACTTGGGGCAGCTTCACCCCTTCTCCTCCTGCTGGGGAGGTCATCTGGAAACAGAGACCCACGGAACAAACAGCTGCATTACCGGATCCCACCTGGATGTAAGGCTCCACCTGGAGCTGGGTCGTACTTCGAGCCCAAGCAAACACCACTTCTGCCTCCCAGAGCCGCAGTCCAGCAGATCAGCACACCAATTGAGGGAGTAAGCACCTATTGAGACCATAGGTCACCCGTCCAGCCCTGCCCTTCAGCAGGCAGTCCTCCCACCAGCAGCCCCGCAGGGGTTACGTTCCGGTAGGGCAGCGCAGCGTGACACACAGATAGAAGAGCCTTCCCTCCGGGAGAGCCCGGGACACCGCAGGCTGGAGCAGCAGCGCTTCGGGCCGATGGACGAAACGCAGCAGCGTACGAACGCGGTGAGGCCCGAACGAGGCGCCCGTCTCACCCGACGGCACAACGGCAGCAGCGCCTCCGAAGCCGCCACCGTCCCAGCAGCCGGTTCCGATGAAGGCGGCAGCAAGGACCTCTCCCTCGAGGCAGCTCCCCGCTCCCCACACCGCAGCCCAGTCCGCGGGCCCGGTGCCCACCCGGACAGCGTTAGGAAGGGGCCGGCAAACACCGCGAGCGCCCCTGGGCACCGAGGCCTCAGCCCGGCCGTGCCCCGGATCGCCATACCTCAGCGCGGCCCCGGCCCGGCCGCGTTGCCACGGGGCCGCGTTGCCACAGAGACGCACCGCGCACTCACCCGCCGCCGCCCGCTCGCGCCGTGCCCCGCGGCGCAAGACAAAGGCCCGGCGTTGCCGGCCCGCATTTACCTCGCGGGAGAGAGCTGTGATTGGAGGAGGCGGCTTACGTCACTGAGGGGGCTCGCACTTCCGCTCTGCCCCGCCTCGTCGACAGCCAATGGGGACACCGGACGTCACGGCAAGCCCCGCCCACGGTCTGACGCTGCGCAGGCGCGAACGGCGGCGCGCCCTCCGACCCGCGCGGCCGATCGGCTGAGCACGTGACCACACGTCGCCGGGTTCGCGTCCGGAGCTGATCGGGCTGCTCCGCTCCGAGATGAAGCGTAAGCCAGGATGGCAGGAGCAAAGCCCAGGCTACACGGCGGGGGCTAAAGATGCACGGTGAAAATGCTTTTTAGTGAAGGGTTTTATTTACAAGTTTTAGAAATAATTAAACCTCATTAACGTACGATTTAATGCTTACTCACATTCGGAAAGAGCGCTCAACTGTCACATCTTCAAAGCTGAAAGTCCGGGATGCCCTCAGGGAGCGCCGTGCGGCTGCTCCGCCCACAGCCCGGCGAGGGGGCAGCCCCAAAAGGAGCCCCAACGCAGCCGCAGGCTACGGATGGACAGACGGACACCTCAGACCGACTGCTCTGTGACCCGGCACACCGTCAGACAGCCATGGGTGGCAGCAGCACGGGGCTTTGGGCTTCTCCATGCTATGGGCACAGCCCTCAATCTGGAGAACGTCGATCAGAACCACGGAAGAAAGCAGCTTTTCTTTACCCAAATCAGAGCTTTGCAGGCTCTGAGATCCCTCCCTGTCAGCTCTCCAAGGAGAGGAGAGGCAGCATATTTCCCTTCCTCTAAAACACCCCGCTGATGATATTCTGCTCTTCTCAAATGACTTCCTCCTCTGCCAACAGCTATCCCACCTCCTTCCCCCACCTCCAGCTCAGCTCTTTGCAACCTTCCTCCATCCCTACCTTTCAGGATTTGTTCTCTTAAAAAGAAATTGCTTTCACCCCCGACAAGCAGCACACTCAATAGTGCAAGGAGAGACGCTGGGCTCTGCTCCCAGGGATGACAGCGAGCATCGGGCCAAACCACCGCATGTCCTCGGTCCTCCTAGGGCTCCCCTCCCCGGTGGATCTGCCGGTGCCGGAGCAGCGCGGAGCTGACGGTGAAGCCCTTCCCGCAGTCAGCACAGCTGTAGGGCCGCTCCCCGCTGTGGATGCGGCGGTGCTGGATGAGGTGGGCGCTCTGCCGAAAGCTGTCCCCGCAGTCGGAGCAGGCATAGGGCCTCTCCCCGGTGTGGACCCTGCGGTGACGGAGCAGGGCCGACCTCCACAAGAAGCTCTTCCCGCACTCGGCGCACTCGAAGGGCCGCTCCCCAGTGTGGAAGCGGCGGTGCTGGATGAGGTGGGAGCTCACCGTGAAGCTCTTCCCGCACTCGGTGCAGCCGTAAGGGCGCTCGCCCAGGTGGAACCGCCGGTGCTGGATAAGGGCAGAACTCACTGTGAAGCTCTTCCCGCACTCGGAGCACTCGTAGGGTTTCTCCCCGCTGTGGACCCGCTGGTGCTTCATGAGCTCGGAGCTCTGGCTGAAGCTCTTCCCGCACTCCACACACTTGTAGGGTTTCTCCCCAGTGTGGACCCGCTGGTGCCGTGTGAGGGCTGAGCTCACGCTGAAGCTCTTCCCGCAGTTGCTACACTCATAGGGTTTCTCCCCAGTGTGCACCCGTTGGTGCTGGACAAGCTGGGAGTTCCCAGAGAAGCATTTCCCACACTCTGTGCATTTGTAGGGCTTCTCCCCCGTGTGGGTTACCTGGTGGCGGATCAGTTTGGAGCTCATGCTGAAGCTCTTCCCACACTCGGCACAGGCGTAGGGCCGCTCCCCAGTGTGGGTCCTCTGGTGCTGGATGAGGTGTGACCGCTGCCTGAAGCTCTCCCCGCAGTCGGTGCAGGCGAAGGGTTTCTCTCCAGTGTGGATTCTCCGATGCTGGATGAGGTTGGAGCTCACCCGGAAGCTCTTCCCGCAGTCCCCACATATTGTCAGTCTCGTTGCAGCAGGATTTCTCTGCTGGATGATATCTGGCAGCCTCCTGAAGCTCTTTCCACGTACCATCACCCGGCTGTGCCTCTTCCCCAGGGGAGGTTTCTGAGCCCTTTCTGACCTGCGTAGGTGAACTGAGTCCTGTTCAGGACTGTGAGAACTCTTCTCCTTGGGTAATGCTGACACTAAACCCTCAGGCTTTGCTGGCCCAGGAATGCCCCAGTGGGGAGTCTCCTCTTTCTTGCTCTCAATCCCATACTCAGCTGTAAGAAAACGAGAATCCAGAGAGGTGTCACATGCAAGAAAGAAGCCTTGGACAAAGGAAATCAAAAGGGGCCAAATTCTAAAAATGCAGCAGCTTGAATTTAAGGTTAAAACGTTCTGATAACTCCTTCCCACCTACTCAGAGGATTTTGCAGTGTTCACAGCATCAAGAACAAACTCTGGAAATTACCCAGGGCTTACTGGCACATCGCAGGTAAAAGTTTAGTGCTCAAATGGCAAAGATAGCTGATATTCTGGGATATTATATCTAAAAACATTAGAAATTGAACAGGCAGAGAAAGGCCATAAAGTACTATCTTGTGCAGCAAGGCACAGGCAAATACCTGCCCTCTTATGCAAAAAGTCTTGGAGAACCACCACTGACAGATATGTATGCCACACAGACTCAAGGTCACTTGAAAGCCTTTCCAGGGGAAGGAGCCTGCATGGATTTCTAGGGCATTTATGCAGAGCAGTGACTGTTTCCAGCTCACTGCTGAAGTGTGGTTTGATGAGCATCCTAAGAGGATCAAAAACCTGAATCCCCAACAGTGCTGTGGGCTTTGCGAGCTTATACCTTAAAGTGGCAGGACAGAAGGTGTGAACGCTTAGGGAGAAATGGCAACACGAATCATCACAGAACAGCTTAGGTTAGAGGGGATCGTGCAGTTTCACCCCCTGCCACGGGCTGGCTGCCAACCACTAGATCAGGCTGCCCAGGATCCCGCCCCGAATGCCTCCAGGGATGGATGTATCATCACATAGGTCAACCAGGCCAATAGATTTCCATGTGATCTCCTTACACGGACTTCCAGGGATGACTTGCTGCTGACTATACATAAAACTCAAAATATGGAAGGGGCTGAGAAGTAAAGCTGCAGAAACAGAGACCTCCAGATTGATTTCTAAAGTGGGACAGATTTGACTGCTATTTCCTGACACTCTGAAAACTCTTGTGAAATAAACTGGCAGCATATCGGCCCTGTGGGATTGATGCACAAACCACAGATGCTTCCTGTGGTCTGGCAGAGCTGTGATAAGGAACTGTGTGCCTTGGAAGAGGAGTCAGTACTGAGTTGTAAGCTGGCAATTAAGGAAGGAGAGTCTACAATTTTTAACCTAACCAATATATGCACCTATTTAATCTCTCTCTTTCTAGTCAGCATATAAAACGTCACAATATGATTTTACAGAGAACTCCTAAGTGGCTTTTCATAGCAATTTGGTGTGGTTCTCTCATGGTTTTCATTAATGTAATCCCCTGAAAGAAACAGAAACGGGAACATTGCTGTTCACCACGAAGGCACTTCCATCTGACTGCAGTTACATCCATCCAGGCCTGAAAGAAAAGTGAACGATATCCAAAGACAGGTTAGAAGGATGACATTTTTGGCAGGCCAGGATGAAACTCTTGACCTCTCCATCAGACTTAGTTGGAGAATATCAGAAGTTTTAAGGTTCCTATCACAGTGACTACTGGTACGGCTCCAGCTCTCCATCATGAAACTTCTACGACCATTTTTGTTTGATGCCTGACCTATCTGACATCTTCACTGGCACCCAGGACAAGCTGTTTGTAAAAGGTTTAATCAACATCGTGATGAGCGGACGTCACTGGAAGGATTTTAAGTGGAAGAATGGCAGAGCATTTGCGGAGGTGTCACTGTATACTGATTCCCTTCTCTGGCATCATCCGTTTCTGGCCAGTCCTGGGATCCCTAAGACGTGGCTTAGACTTGGGTCTAACCCAGCAGGGCTTGCTCATGGAACTTCCCAACACAGCTGGACTCCTGGCTGCTGTACCTCATTGTCATGTGGCTGGGTGTGATGGCAGAGGGAGGCCTTGAGGCAACATCCAGGGAGCGGGAAGCCCAGCAGACATTCCAAGCAAATAAACAAAAGCTGGAATAAGAGATTTAGTGACAGATGACCAAGGAAGGCATACTGGGGAAGGGCCAGCACAGCCTTTGGAAACAGGAGTCTCACCTTATAAACTACAGAGCTCTTCAGAGACATCATCCATTTTACAGAAGGGAGATGTGTCTAAAAGCATTCCTGAACATTTGCTCTTCACATGAACTGAGTAAGTCATGAAGTTGCTACGCAAAGAGGGACCCGAAATAATGTGGTGATGGAGGGAAAGGGGAAAACGGAAAGATTTGCTGGAGATTCCATGCCATGCAGGGCCAAAGAGATGAATGCTGACTGCGAGGATCAACTGTGGCAGAACCTCAGGGCACTGACCAGCTGGGTGACGGGTAATGACAGGTAAACAAAGAGAGCTGCGGGAGGAGGGGAAAGCCTCTGCACCTTGTGCTGCCTGGGCTGATCTCAGTGCGTGCTGGCACAGCAAACAGAGGAGGTCCATACCGGACAAAGCACGTGAAGATGCACCACGGCCTGCTCCTCCACCCACCGACAGCCCAGGTTGGTGCAGGCAAAGCCGGACCGCCTTACCTGGGCAGGAGCCGCGCAGACCCGCCCGCCCCTCGCAGGCACGCAGACGGGAGAACCACCGCTCCGCCTTCGGGTCCGCGTGGGAGATCATGTCCGTCCCCGAGGTCCTGCAGGCGGGCAGGGAGGCCGGCCCGGCTCCGCCCGGTAGCGGGGAGCTACAACAGCGGGTCCTACCGACGCGGGCTCCTCGGCCACGGCGTCCTCAGCCCCGCGGGGGGCCTCGGGGACCGCGGCGCTGCGGGACGAACCCGCGCACGGCACCGCGATCGGCGCGGCACAGCCGGCGTGCCGGTGTCACGTGACGGCGGCGGCCAATGGCGCGCGGGGCTTTCGCCTCCGAGGGCGGCGGGAAATGGCGGCGGTCGCTGCCCGCCGGGCGGTGCTCGGGGCCGCTCCTGCCCGCGAAGCTGACGCGAGAGAGAACCGCCATCTGAAGTCACAGCTTTTCCCGCCGCCCTCACGGCCCGGCGCCCACAGTCCTCGTGCAGACGCTCCCCGAACGCACAGGAAGCCCGGCGGCCGGGAGGGCTCCCGCCACAAACGGCGGAGCTCTGCTCCTCACACCGACCGAGATCAGCGCCGCGAAGCGCGGGGCACCGCGTGCGTGCCTCCGCTTTGGCTCAGCTAACAGCGAGCCGCGGAAGCAGCAAAGAAACCGAGCAGGAGATACCCGGTAATAGGGATCGTGCACGGGAGAAGAGAAAGGAGTTAGCAGCAATTTGCTCCAAAGTTTGCTCCGTAACACTGAGCGCAGCCGCGCGCGTGCGAAGGCAGCCCTGCCCGAAGTCACGTGGCAGCAGCTTGGCTTTGGTCGCTGCCAACCCGCAGGGCGGCACAGCTGACCGCTGCCCAGGACATGGAGGCAGGCGCTGCAGCACGGCCCTTGTCTGGGCTCTGGGGACTGAGGAGCTTCCCCCCGCGGGTAGCTAACGCTGTTCTGCCACAACACTTGCTGTCCGTGAAGGCAATTCTTCGCATACCCGGCAGCAATCACTTTGGCACAGCCGAGACGCATCTGGTTCCCGGCTTTCCTCACCTATCGGTATTAGCAGTGTCGGAGCCCTGCGAGGCTCTCCCAGGACGGTCAGCCCACAGATCTCCCCAGAACAAAGCTGTTCTGTATTTCTCCAGCCAAGGACAATATCTTGCAATAGCAGAAGGTGCATAAGTCAAGCTCCCAGCTCCATATCCCCAGTCTCACAGATGGCCTCTGTTTCAAAGCTCGCCCCGGCGCTCAGTCAGCCCCTTTGGGTTTGCATTTCTCCTCCTCCTGGCTCCGCTGTCAGCACGTTGGTGTGCGCAGGAGAAATCACACCCAGAGGGAGACGTTAGCTGCAGCAAAAGCTGTTCCAGGCGTGCTGTTCACGTCCTTCTGCCACCTCTGCAGCTTGTGCTGGCTGGTCTTACAGGTGAGAAGAGGGCAAGTCCAAGAAGGTGCAGGGCTCCCCTATACTGCAGTTGGGAACATACAAAGTATCCACATTCTGTTAATGCCTCACCTGGGTCCAGAGGCTTTGGAGGTCCCCAGTGTGACAGGGAGACGTCCTTCACTCTGTCAGCTACTAGGGAAATACAGATGCATCACCTGTGCTGGTGCAGCAGGAACAGAGGTTTCTGTCACGTCAGCTGTGTTTCACATTGGCATTTAATGTTTAGGGCTTTTCTTGCCCAAAATAAAAGGCAGATCAGCTTTCTAGAGATCTAATAAGAAAAAAAAATCAAGGGATCTGGGTGTTTGTGTTGGCACAGGGAGAAAAATAGTCATAGCAAATACTGCTGGCTGCATGACAAAGACATTGCAGCAAACGGGATTGGGGTCATTTTTCATCTGCCCAAATCTGAGTGACAACTCTGAACTGTTCTGTAGGTAAGAAATCTTTTAACACAAACTCCTGCTATCAACTGTGCAAATTATTGAAGATCTTCCAAAATGAGAAGTCAAATAGCACAAAAGAAGAACATTTCCAGGAAGGTTTCTGTTAGGTGAACAGCAAACACCCGCCCTAGGTGGCATTACAGACACTTCACTGCAGAAGTTCAATGAACAAGACAAACTTCAAGGCACGATAACAGCCAACTCCTTCCAAGAAGAAATTATCCAGAGGGGATCGAAGCAGAGTTTGGGAAATCCCTACCTGGGCTCAATGTCCTGCTGACAGACAAGGACCTACTGGGTGCGCTGGGTCAGGCTGCAGGGGAGCCCTGCGTCCCCACAGTGGAGACGTGGCCTTCAGCATTGCACAGTACAGTAAGAAAGGGAGAGGTGGGCTTGTGCTGAGCTCAAGCAAGGACTGCGTTCATGTTCCATTCTGAGATGAATGTGTTCAAGCTTTGCAAGATGACTGCTTGGGCTCAGCAGCGGGATGCGAGGCGCTCAGGCAAAGGAATACTGCAGGTACCTCTGAAACACTGCTCTGAAACACAGAGAGCAGCTGAATCACAGAGACAGCTTTGCTGAAGGCTGCATCGTCTCTCCCAGGCGCTGCCGTTTCATTAAACAGCAATGCTTGTGAACAAGGTGTTGTGCAGGAATAATATAAACCATCACCAAAATGCAAACAAGTGCATTCGAAATGCATTTCCAGAATGGCTCCAGTCCACTTAAAGAGCTGCAGAAAGGATTGCTCTCATAATCAGCCCCGTGAAATCTAAACATTAGCGCTGTGAACATAACATTTTAAGTCTGTTGGCTCAGTACGAAGGGAAAGCACGGCTTTGTATTATTCTCTCTGCTTTATATTATTCTCATGTGTTTTATTTAAGTTAGCCTCTCGGCCATGGTGATGGATGATAGCTGCAGAAGAAATGCCATTAAGAGACAAGGTGACTTAGGGGTAAGTGGACAGAACTGCGTCTCTGTAAGGAAACAGTGCTCATATACAAGATTATTACATAAACATCTGCAGCACAGCTTTTCAGAAGAAAACCTTTTCAGACTATTTCTTTTTTTCCAGCAGGAAATGTGACAATACAGAAAACAACACGGTAGCTGCAAAAGAATATCCAGAAATCCATCATACACACCATTTGGATGCCACAGGGAATTCAGAAGCAGTGTTTTCCAAAGCTCATGCAGTACTCACGCAGTGCATGTTGGTGAGACATGTCAGGTGTGAGCAATGCCAGTAACATCTGCTTGTCTTTTAACACAAATAAAATCAAATACATTAAAACCAAAGTTGAAAAGGTATTTCTTTTTCTTTTCTGTGACCTTGGAAGCATTAACACAAACAGAAGTGCTAGAATATTTTTCATAGCTGCTAATACACAGCTGGAAATAAAAAAAATGATGACAATGGATTTTCCAAGACAGAGTATAAGCCTGCATCGGGTGTGTAAGAGACACAGGAATACTTAGAAATCAAACTGGCACCATGTTATCGGTGGCAGATGGTAACACCAGTGTGAGCTGGGGGATGGATGCTTTGCTCACAGATTAACAGAGCAGGCAAATGAATAATGGCTTTCAGAAAATTTGCAGTGCTTGTCAGACATGTCCTTGTAATCTTGAAGGCTGCAAAAGACTTCAAATCCTTTATCTGCCATCTGAGAAAAAATTCTAGAACTTCAAGAGCCATTTCATCAGCTTCAGAAACAAGAAAGCATCGTGGCAAGCTCCTGCAAAATGGTCATCTCCAAACCCTGACAGCACAGGGGAGATACTGAAAGTTATCTTTTTACCTTAGACAAAACTGCAAAGTTTACAGATGCCAAAGACAGGAGGCTGGAGACACTGCCAGGGACCAACGTTCTGATTTCTTTCATAGCGTGCTCAATGATTTATGACACAGTGCTCTTTCTTATATTTGAACAGCTGTCATTTACGTGTATGGAAATGCGATGCTGCGTCAACTGAGTGTCAAGACACAACAAAAAGTTGGCTGCAGAATCTTTGATCATAAATGTAAGTCCTACTTAGAAAGAGCCAAAAAAGCTGGGAAGGAATCACATTTATTTTCCTGTATTAAGACCAAGTGTCACTGAAGCTTTTTCTGAATATTAAGTATCTGTTGGGAGAAACACAAGGTACATTGAGGGCAACGTTTCCTAGATTGCCTCTTCAAGGCAAGCCTGGGTCTTTTTATCTAATGAAGTCATCACACAGCACTCTTGCACAAGAAGATGAGGGAGCAAAAGTGATGTGACTGCCAGGGAAGAAAACTGCCCCCAATTCCTGACAAGTCACAAGAGATGGCAGAAAGTGTTGCTTGAAGGTCCCTATGCCATCACACATGCCACAGCAACGCCTGATAGAGAAGGAAGGTCACAGGCCCTCTGTGGTTACCTATGTCCCCTTCCCCTCCAAGGCCAGACCCATCCCACAGTCCCTCTTGGAAGACCCCCCCCTTTCTCCTGCCCTCCCTGCAGTCTCCCTTACCTTTGGACCACGCGTTCCTGACGCCCTGTGCAGCTCATCTCCCTCCAGGTCACCAATCCACCATCCATGAGTGCAGGCTGATCTCTCCCATTCCACCTCTCTGTGCTGCAGGGCACCTGGCACAAATGCTCCTCCTCCAGTTTTTTTGCTCAGGTTTTGATCAGCACAGGCACAGAGTGCACAGCTCCTCCTGCTCTCAACCAGACCCAGTGTTTCTGCTTAGAACCATCCCTAAAGTCCCTCAGAAGACATTACTTATAGCTTAGCATTATTTCCTTCCAAATTGTTTATTGTATAGAAATCAAATAAAACCAAGGCAGTGCTGTATCAAATAATAAAATAAAAAAGTATGTTCCAAATACATAAATACATTCAGAAATCAAGCTTTTTCTTTTTAATTGTTGTGTCTATTTTGGTGAGTGAGACTCTGCAGACTCAGACCTGCCAGAACAGAGAAAAATCCAAAGGTGTGGTAGAAGTTAATAAATAAGATGACTATTTAGTGTCCAAGACTTCCCCAAGAGTCCCAGACAGTTTCCAACCAAATATTGGTCCAGTTTGGAAATGACAAGACAGATCCACAAAGAAGCTTTAGATCAGGGTGTGAGAATTGCTTGAGAGATCCATTGGTCACTGTAACACTGTCTTTTTAAAAATGTCACATAGTCAAGCTACAATGACACGGTGAAACAGTACTCAGAAAATGGAGCTGTAATGTCTTTAGCACCAATCTCAGCAAAGTGAATGCACACAACTGAACGTTCAAACTTCAATGGCTTCTACGTGACATCTGGTGATGCAGCCACCA